AGACTTGATCGGCTTTATTCTCCCACGGGTACACATGATTAACCACATGAATAAACAGTCACAGCCACATGAACTTTTACGCGTATTTATTTCCTCCGTGTACAAAAATTTAATTAAACACAACTACAACATAACTTTGTAATAGTTGTGATAAATAAAGATATTTAAAAATGTAAATAAAATATTAATTTATTAATTTCATCAATTCTAACCAATAATTTCCATTCCATTCATCCATTTCCTTAATACTTTTGGTATAACAATTTTACCATCACCTCTTTGAAAATTTTCAAGTATTGAAATGATCATTCTTGGTACAGCGATTGCTGTACCATTTAATGTATGAACGAATTCTGTTTGTGGTGATGATGAATCATTATCCTTATCTTTATCCTTATCAGTATTATTCTTATTATTATTTTGTTCAGATAATAATGGTTTATATCGAATATTTAATCTTCGTGATTGATAATCTGTACAATTTGAAGCTGAAGATATCTAAAAAAAGAATTGAGAATATTATTATTGTGTGCATGTATTGATTGTTTTTGTTATTTGTTTTTAAATATATATATAAAATAATTACCTCTCCCCATTTACCACGTCCTGGCATCCAGGCTTCCATATCAAATTTACGATAAGCATTAGCTCCAAGTTCATAAGTTGGCATATCCAAAATCCTACCATAATAATAACATAATTGTAACATAACAAATAACAAAAATAAAAGAAGATTAACATAACAATAAAAAAAATATAAGAAGATTAATATAATATAATAATAATAATGATATAATAATAATATATAATAATAATAATAATATATAATAATATAAATATAATATTAAAATATTTTACCTAAAACATAATCCCAAATCATTAAATATTTCTTCTTGTAATCCAACAATTTCATTAAACATATTATCACTTTCATGAGATTTAGTTAAACAAAACATTTCCACCTTACTAAATTGATGTACTCTGTATAATCCTTTAGTATCTTGACCTCTTGATCCTGCTTCAGCCCTAAAACATTTTCCATATCCTACCATCCTTATGGGTAATTGGGAATCTGTTAATATTTTATTAGAATAAATTCCTGCTAAAGGAATTTCTGCTGTGGCTGATAATAAATTTTGATATAATATATTATTATTGTTGTTGCTATTTTCATCTAAATTGCTTTGTTTGAATGATGATGATTTTTGTGAAGACTTTTGTGAAGATGAAGAAGATTTTTGTAAAGTTGGTAAAGGTAATGTTGTTGTTGTTGTTGGTGTTGTGGTAATATAATAATTTTGAGATACTTCGTCATCTCTAGGTTGAAATCCACATGCATTACTAAATTCAGTTCTAATTACATCTGGAGTAATTATTGGTAAATATCCTTTATTGACTAATTTTTCCATGGCATATTGAATTAATGCTAATTCTAATAATGCTCCTGCATTTCTTAAATAATACCAACTTGTACCTGTAACAATTGATGCTGTTTCAAAATCTATTAAATCTAATTCTTTGCCTATTGTCATATGATCCTTTATTATTATTGGTTGTGTTGTTACTGCTGAATTTACAGTTTCAGTTGTTGCTGCTTCTGGAGATGTTGTTGTTGTTGAGCCTACTATTTCAGTTGCAAGAAGAGGAGTACCTACAGTCTTTATAATTCTAGTAACTTCTTCACCACCAACTCTAACTTCTTCATGAGTATCATTGGGAATTTTTAATCCTTCAATTAACATTTCTTCTTCAACTTTTCCTAATCTCGATTCAATATTTTGAATTGCTTCTTTAATTTCTCTTGCTTGTTCAACTAATTTATTTTTTTCTTCTTTATCTTTGATTGATCTAATTTGTTTGGTAATTTCATTTCGTTTATTTCGTAATGAATTAATTTGTGAAGTCATTTCACAAAATTTTGTATAATGAATATTCACCAATGAGATATTGGCATCTTTCAAATTACGATTCATAATATTTTTTGCGATCTTATTGAAATTTGCAAGAAAGTATTTGTAATTTAAATGTGGTCGAAGGTAAGAGAATTTTTGAGATGGAGATGAAGATGAAGGTGAAGATGAAGGTGAAGATGAAGGTGATGAAGATGATGATAAAGTTGTGGTGGATAAGAATTTACATTTGAAAGAATGAGAAAAGGATGAAGTGTAGTAATTGATATTTTTGATATTTGAATACTTTATTGATAGACGCATATTTTTAATCTAAAAAATTTTTTTTTTGTAAAAGGAAAACTTTTAAGATTATCATGCAGATCTATTACATATATATATTTTCGAGTCGAGTAATGCATTCATCTTCTGAATAAGTAATATTTTATTAATTAGAAAATACGAAGAAAAATATATATATATTAATTAGATGTGTAATTGCGCGCTGACCTTTGTTAGATAAACTTATTAAATAAACTTTTGCTAAATAAACTTGACTTCTTAAAAAATTTATTAATAAACTTGTTTGCATGTCACTAAATTTAACTAATTAAACTATCGAACACTTTAAGCATTAATAATACAATTACTAGCAATAATAATACTACCAAAATTAATTCTTATCCTTCTTCATCTTCATCTTCTTTATCTTCATATATTTCTACTCCTAATAGTAATTCTTCAACTATATTCTCATCATCTTCATCTAATTCTTCGAAAAATAATAATAGTAATAATGATAATGATGATGATGATGTTGAATGGTTTATATCATCCGAGAAATCTTTTGATATCAAAAAACGTAACGGTGGTGATCAATATATTTGTTTTGACTGCAAGAATTCTCTCAAAGGTAATTCATTTAATTTTCATATATTTTTTAAATAATAATTCATTTTTATAACATTTTTAAAATAGGAAAGAAACCAAACAAATATGGAAAATTTCAATCAATCCCGTTTCGAAAACAACCAACTTTTATTGAATCTTTAAAAGGTGAATGAGTGTATATCTGAATCTGATATAAATATAAAAATAAAAATAAAAAATAAAAATTTTCACTAAAAAAAAAAAAACATTATATAGATTCATCTTTATATCAAGTATATTTGGGAAACGTGAGATCATACATTTGCTTGGTGACACTAAAAGTTTGTTTGGAGAAAGATTTTGGTCGCGTTGAACTAGATTGAAAAAATTCGACTGAAGAATTATGATTATTTAATACAGAACATTTATCCCATTATGTAAAGAATATTTCATCATACGAAAATAATGAGAAATTATGACACAAGAAGAAACGCGTCATGTTTACGTAATCGACTAATTTGAACAAATTCATATTCATTTTTTTAGATTCATTAATTAATTAATTTATAGAATTATATTATATTTAATAATTTTATTTTTATTTATCTACAAAATAACTTGATTTGTTTAGGAAAACTTCGCATTTGCTTTTTTCGCTGAAAGAAATGCATACTATAAAGCAATCGATACTGGTACAGTCTTGGTTCAAGGAATTTATATATCAATTGATAGATGTATGAACCCAAGAAGAATGTTCAATGGCAGGGTCCTCGACATTTGTTAAACGAATGGAACGAACTTAACAAATAATAATAAGATAATCTCAATAATCTTTTTATTATCTTGCATTCTTTATATTTTCGTATGTGTATTTCTTTTCAGGTACAAAATGAAAAAATAAATATTTATCTAAAAAAATGAATATGAATTTGTTCAAATTAGTCGATTACGTAAACATGACGCGTTTCTTCTTGTGTCATAATTTCTCATTATTTTCGTATGATGAAATATTCTTTACATAATGGGATAAATGTTCTGTATTAAATAATCATAATTCTTCAGTCGAATTTTTTCAATCTAGTTCAACGCGACCAAAATCTTTCTCCAAACAAACTTTTAGTGTCACCAAGCAAATGTATGATCTCACGTTTCCCAAATATACTTGATATAAAGATGAATCTATATAATGTTTTTTTTTTTTTAGTGAAAATTTTTATTTTTTATTTTTATTTTTATATTTATATCAGATTCAGATATACACTCATTCACCTTTTAAAGATTCAATAAAAGTTGGTTGTTTTCGAAACGGGATTGATTGAAATTTTCCATATTTGTTTGGTTTCTTTCCTATTTTAAAAATGTTATAAAAATGAATTATTATTTAAAAAATATATGAAAATTAAATGAATTACCTTTGAGAGAATTCTTGCAGTCAAAACAAATATATTGATCACCACCGTTACGTTTTTTGATATCAAAAGATTTCTCGGATGATATAAACCATTCAACATCATCATCATCATTATCATTATTACTATTATTATTTTTCGAAGAATTAGATGAAGATGATGAGAATATAGTTGAAGAATTACTATTAGGAGTAGAAATATATGAAGATAAAGAAGATGAAGATGAAGAAGGATAAGAATTAATTTTGGTAGTATTATTATTGCTAGTAATTGTATTATTAATGCTTAAAGTGTTCGATAGTTTAATTAGTTAAATTTAGTGACATGCAAACAAGTTTATTAATAAATTTTTTAAGAAGTCAAGTTTATTTAGCAAAAGTTTATTTAATAAGTTTATCTAACAAAGGTCAGCGCGCAATTACACATCTAATTAATATATATATATTTTTCTTCGTATTTTCTAATTAATAAAATATTACTTATTCAGAAGATGAATGCATTACTCGACTCGAAAATATATATATGTAATAGATCTGCATGATAATCTTAAAAGTTTTCCTTTTACAAAAAAAAAATTTTTTAGATTAAAAATATGCGTCTATCAATAAAGTATTCAAATATCAAAAATATCAATTACTACACTTCATCCTTTTCTCATTCTTTCAAATGTAAATTCTTATCCACCACAACTTTATCATCATCTTCATCACCTTCATCTTCACCTTCATCTTCACCTTCATCTTCATCTCCATCTCAAAAATTCTCTTACCTTCGACCACATTTAAATTACAAATACTTTCTTGCAAATTTCAATAAGATCGCAAAAAATATTATGAATCGTAATTTGAAAGATGCCAATATCTCATTGGTGAATATTCATTATACAAAATTTTGTGAAATGACTTCACAAATTAATTCATTACGAAATAAACGAAATGAAATTACCAAACAAATTAGATCAATCAAAGATAAAGAAGAAAAAAATAAATTAGTTGAACAAGCAAGAGAAATTAAAGAAGCAATTCAAAATATTGAATCGAGATTAGGAAAAGTTGAAGAAGAAATGTTAATTGAAGGATTAAAAATTCCCAATGATACTCATGAAGAAGTTAGAGTTGGTGGTGAAGAAGTTACTAGAATTATAAAGACTGTAGGTACTCCTCTTCTTGCAACTGAAATAGTAGGCTCAACAACAACAACATCTCCAGAAGCAGCAACAACTGAAACTGTAAATTCAGCAGTAACAACACAACCAATAATAATAAAGGATCATATGACAATAGGCAAAGAATTAGATTTAATAGATTTTGAAACAGCATCAATTGTTACAGGTACAAGTTGGTATTATTTAAGAAATGCAGGAGCATTATTAGAATTAGCATTAATTCAATATGCCATGGAAAAATTAGTCAATAAAGGATATTTACCAATAATTACTCCAGATGTAATTAGAACTGAATTTAGTAATGCATGTGGATTTCAACCTAGAGATGACGAAGTATCTCAAAATTATTATATTACCACAACACCAACAACAACAACAACATTACCTTTACCAACTTTACAAAAATCTTCTTCATCTTCACAAAAGTCTTCACAAAAATCATCATCATTCAAACAAAGCAATTTAGATGAAAATAGCAACAACAATAATAATATATTATATCAAAATTTATTATCAGCCACAGCAGAAATTCCTTTAGCAGGAATTTATTCTAATAAAATATTAACAGATTCCCAATTACCCATAAGGATGGTAGGATATGGAAAATGTTTTAGGGCTGAAGCAGGATCAAGAGGTCAAGATACTAAAGGATTATACAGAGTACATCAATTTAGTAAGGTGGAAATGTTTTGTTTAACTAAATCTCATGAAAGTGATAATATGTTTAATGAAATTGTTGGATTACAAGAAGAAATATTTAATGATTTGGGATTATGTTTTAGGTAAAATATTTTAATATTATATTTATATTATTATATATTATTATTATTATTATATATTATTATTATATCATTATTATTATTATATTATATTAATCTTCTTATATTTTTTTTATTGTTATGTTAATCTTCTTTTATTTTTGTTATTTGTTATGTTACAATTATGTTATTATTATGGTAGGATTTTGGATATGCCAACTTATGAACTTGGAGCTAATGCTTATCGTAAATTTGATATGGAAGCCTGGATGCCAGGACGTGGTAAATGGGGAGAGGTAATTATTTTATATATATATTTAAAAACAAATAACAAAAACAATCAATACATGCACACAATAATAATATTCTCAATTCTTTTTTTAGATATCTTCAGCTTCAAATTGTACAGATTATCAATCACGAAGATTAAATATTCGATATAAACCATTATTATCTGAACAAAATAATAATAAGAATAATACTGATAAGGATAAAGATAAGGATAATGATTCATCATCACCACAAACAGAATTCGTTCATACATTAAATGGTACAGCAATCGCTGTACCAAGAATGATCATTTCAATACTTGAAAATTTTCAAAGAGGTGATGGTAAAATTGTTATACCAAAAGTATTAAGGAAATGGATGAATGGAATGGAAATTATTGGTTAGAATTGATGAAATTAATAAATTAATATTTTATTTACATTTTTAAATATCTTTATTTATCACAACTATTACAAAGTTATGTTGTAGTTGTGTTTAATTAAATTTTTGTACACGGAGGAAATAAATACGCGTAAAAGTTCATGTGGCTGTGACTGTTTATTCATGTGGTTAATCATGTGTACCCGTGGGAGAATAAAGCCGATCAAGTCTTACCCCTAGAAAATAGAAAATACAAAATATATGTCATATCATATGACACTATGACACAACAAGATGTACAATATGAAAAGTGAAACTGGCTAGTAATACTGGTAATTAATGAATTAATGGATCGTTAGATTCGATAGTTTAGTTTTTTTACTCGAATAGTCTTTTTTAATAAATAATAAATAGGATAGATAAAGGGGAAATTTCTTTACAAATTTTGCATTACCCAAAAATTTACATTCTACATTCCACATAACAATAAATAATAACATTATTATTCTAATAAGTAAAGAATAAAAAAAAAATATGGAATTCGCTAAAGAACAAAAGGTTTCTTCAATATCTTTGGGAGTACCTTCTCCATCAACCACTAAAACTCCCCCAAAAACAAAAACTGATGAAGGTATTAAAAATATGATAAATGGCTCGGTAATTAAATATTAACATAAATATTATTATTATTTAAAATTAAATAAATGAAAAAAAAAAAAAAAAATTAAATTAAATCAAATAATTAAAATAATTATAATTAAATTTTAATCATATAATTTTTATTTATTTAAAAAGATCGCAGGAATGACTGGGAAATTAGTAGAATATCCGTTTGATACAGT